GATTTAATAGGTTGTAAATAAAAAATAAACATAGGTTAGACAGTTTTCTTATGTGTTCTCATTTCTATGCCCTTCAGTTTCATCAATTATTGTTAATTTTGGGGGTACAAATCCAGGTGAGCTAGTCAAACCTTTATGGATAGAAATAAAGAAAATGAAATCTGTGTGCCATAATTTCATTAGAAACACAAACGTGTTGTTCTACCCATTTATTGTAATTCTGTTTACATGAAAAGTAAATAAAATTATGATCAAACAATTTACTGTTATTTTGCATTTTTTCTTTTTAATCTCTTAAGGGCATTATTATGTCCGCTTCTTGACTCATACTGAATGACCTCCATCTTTATCTTTCTTGTGATTTCTGAGGATATTTTGGTGAATCTTTAATCCCATTATTTTCATACAGAATTTTCTAGTTTGACTGTGAAGACCGAAGAAGAGGAAGAAACCTACAGCACATCACTACATTTACCTGAAAAATCAAAAACACTTGAACTCAAGCCAGAACAAAAGCGTTTTTCCAGTACTTTGGAAAGGAAAAAAGAGAAACCTGTGTTTCAGTCCAAGCTTACATCTGCCGAAGTTACCGTCGGAGAGTCAGTTAGGTTTACTGTCACAGTATCTGGTTTTCCAAAGCCAAAAGTTCAGTGGTTCCACAATGGAAAAGTTATCACTTCTTCAACAGTTTATAGGTTTGTAGAAGAGAAAGATGAGTACACCTTAATAATAACACAAGTCAAGAAAGAGTATGAGGGAGAGTACTCTTGTACCGCCAGTAATAGATTTGGCCAAACCACCTGCAAGACAATGTTAAAGGTAAAAGTGAGTCAATTATCAGCAGCAGAAAAATGGGTGGAACAAATGTTCAAGCTACCAGGGCAACCACCATGCTTTACCACACAAATCCAACCTGTGCAGTGTGCAGAGGGCAGCGAGGTAAAATTTCAGTATAGAGTTACTGGTACTCCTTTCCCTGATGTTCAGTGGTTTAAGGGTAATTCTCAAATTAAGTCAAGCCAGACCTGTTCTGTTGTAAGTAACCCAGACGGCTCTGGCATCCTTATCATGAATAATATCCAACAGAGTGACAGTGGACTCTACACATGCAAGGCTGTCAATCCATTTGGGGAGGCAAGCTGCAGTGCTGAGCTGATAGTATTCCACAAAAAAGTCTCTGTATTTCATAAACAGCAATTAGTCCAAGAGCAAAAAAGTTATAAGGTGTCCATGAAAGAGGAAGCCACTGAATCTCGCTTGTACAGTGTTAGCCTACCTGGACAGGCAGGTGCTAGTTTGCAGGGAGACCATCAGGTAATTTACACCATTGGCACAGAAGATAGGCAAATGGTAACGAGTGAGCAGGTTGATACTCTGCATGACCTGGATGTTTCCATTGCAACTATGCACAAGGAGCAGGTGACTCATCAAGCTGCCGTGTTGCAGTCTCATGAAGTTCAAGAGAGAGTCATATCTGCTTCAGTTCAGCCACAACCAGTGGTAGCAACCCATTTGAAACAGCTCCAGATGGCTACTATGACCTCAGCAGTTCAAGAACGCCAAGGTTTCACAGAACAGCACTTTGAACGAATCAAAAGTCCTGAGGTTACAGAGCTAGAAATTGAGAAAGAGCATCCCTCACAGGTAATGTCTGCCATAACTGAGAGTGTAACTCCACTGACGATTGTCAAAGCTGAGCCTTTATCAACCAGAGAAACAGAACAGATCAAGTCATCTCCTGAGCCCAAGTATCTGATATCAAGTCACCAAGTTGAGACAAAACTCCCGATTGTTAAAGAACATTCACAGGTTATACCGCATACTCAGCAGGAAAAGGGCTACCAGGTTAAAGAGGGAGTTAAAATCCTTTACAGTGCAGTTTCAACTGAGAAACAACAGATCACAGAAGGCCACTCTAAAGAACTGTCAACACAAGAATCTACCTTTCAGACATCTGTGAAGAAAGAACCAGCGAAACCAGTTGTCCTTTCAGTTAGTGAGACTGCTCAGACTTTATCAAAAGAAGAGAGGTTATTGATGCACAAACCAGATGAGGAGACAGCATCTTTAGTCAAAGATAGTGTATTTAAATCGGCTCTTGTTGCTGAGGAAAAGCATCAACTCCAAGCTGATCAGTCAAGTTTGATCCCAGGTTTAGAAAGTGCCATTGCAGTGCAGTCCCAGAGAGAAGAAGGTCAAGTTCTGCATTTACAGGTCATCACAGATCAGGATATTCTTCCATCTGAAGGCAGGTTTAGCAGTGAGAAGCCAAGCCCAGAGAAAGCAGATGCTCAAAAAAGTCCTGTTCTTAAGCATACAGTGTCAGTGGATTTACAACAGATGGTGACATGTGAGGAGTCTTCTCAGTTTTCAGCACAAGAAACAAAAATTTCAATTCAGCCTGGTAAGGAAGCTCCTGCCCCTTTGCATCTTCAGGCAGTTCATTTAGAAAATACGTTGACGAAAGAAGGGATAATCTCAATGGAAAATCCAGACGAACAGATTGCGGTACAGAGACAAGAAAAAGCCCGTCATCATGCTGCAAGCACAGAAGAAAAAAGAGAGCATACAGCAGATTATTGTAAAGATCTTGATGTGTCTGTTAAAGGTGTGCAGTCTGAAATCAGAAAGGAACCCAAACCTGAAAGCATTCTTCAAGTCTTTTCAGAGCCAGTGCCATTACCAAAGGAAACTCCTTTTGTAAGTGATGTTAAACAGCAGCGTGCCCTAGTACAGAAAGAAGATCACTGGAATATCATGCATGTGCCATCTGTGTCAGAGAGTCAGGATATAGAGGAGGGGCACACAGAGAATATAGGAACAATTGAGAAATGCGTGTCTAAAAGCGAAGTTGAACCCAAAATTCCATCTGAATTAATTTATGTTGAAGAAAAGGCTATCTCGACAGAGAGTAGCATTGCCCTTGATGCCACCGAACAAGATTTCGCAGTTCAAATTCAAGAAGGACAGTCTGTTAGACAGTCAATATTAATGGAAGAAAAGCGTCTAATCAAAGGTGAGCTATCTCAGGATATTACACAATCTGAAACATCCACAGCAGTTGTCAGTAAGCAGAAGATGGGTACTCTTTTAGTGTCAGAGTCAAGAGAGAGCCAAACTCTACCCAAAGAGCTCACTTTTGTTATTTCGCCTCCAAAACCACATTCATTGGACATTAAGCACCAATTAAAAAGTGCTCTTGCAGCTGCTGTTGCTCTTGACCAGCCATTGATCCTGGCAGATGTAGTTGAGAGTCTAGGAGCTGTAGAAATTCATGAGGTAAAAGAAAGGAAAGAACCCAAATATGTCATGTTCACATATCTTATTACAAGTGCAAGTGCCCCACTTGAAATTACAATTGCTTTTGAAGGCGAGTACCCCCAGACTGCTGATCTCAGAAGTGAACTTAAAGCTGCTTTCTACTCCATTGTCTATCGAGAGCAACAGGTTATGATCTCAGAGCAGCCAGGCACAATGCAAATTGACAGGCCCCAAAGATTACAGGTTACCAAGGCTTCTACAAAAGAAATGCGTTCCCCTGTGGTAGAGATGGTAAGATTGACAGAAAATGTAGAGCCTTTTACATCACCAATGTCTCAGTCTGCAACTGTGAAAACTGAAGCGAAAGTCTCTTTTCAGTCCGTAACAGCTAAAGAGCAAGCTTTTGTGCAACAGTCAACAATTCAAATGGCAAGTGAATCAAAAATTGAGATTCAGCAGTCCATCCATGTTGAGCGACAAGAAACCAGATCTGTGTCAGTAAAAGAACTTGAGAAGGATGTAGGGGCAGAAGGTATGACAACTGAACTTGTTTTGGGGCCTGTTCCTATCGAGCGGTCGACTGAAGTCGTCTTTCAGAGAGAGGAAAGGGAGGAATATATAACCGAAGCATTTATGAAATTAGAGAAAGAAGAAATTAGAGAGAAGGCTTACCCAGTTTTTGAAAGCTCCTTGGAGGATATTGAAATAGATGAACATTCAGAGGCAAAATTCTCATTGACTATTAGACATGTAACGAAAGTAAATTGGCTTTTTAATGGAAAATCAATTAAATCTGGCAAAGAGTTCAAGTGTTCCAAAGACCACGACACTTACACACTAGTAATCAGCAAGGTTACGAAGGATCATCAAGGAGAATATACCTGTGAGGCTGTAGGTGATGCCGGCAAGACCTCAACATCCTCTCACATCACTGTGGTCTCAAGAGGTTGGATTTATGGGAATTATTTTGCCATCCCATCTCACATGACTAACTCTTGCCGTTTATAGCTAAAATAGACACGCTTCATCAGACATGCTTTCTCAGTATCTCCACACCAACTAATAGAAAAGATCTATGTATTTCATATGAAGATACCTTCGTAATGTCTTCCACTCTTATCATCTTCACAATTCTGTGATTTTGCCACCATTTTCACATCACTGAAAATGTTAGCATGTCTTCACTTCTTCACATCAACCCTTAACCTGCTGGATCTCTCAGTGTCATTCCAACGTTCATCTCCTCCTTCACTCCTGCAGTATTTACCACTTTTTATTTTATTCATCTCTGGGAATTGGTTATGAAATACTCCATTGTTGTTTTCTTCATCAGTCATTGAGCACCTCATAATTGATCTTTTTTTTTTGCATGCATGCCAGGATGTCAAGTCATTATTTCACTCTTTATTCAATGTTTTTTCCTCCCTCATAGCGAGATCACCATTACTCTTCACAGTCACTCTTGAATTTTTCTTTTCTTACTGCTCCATTACAGTGACCACAGAAATTGGCACTTTTTGAAAATACCATATCTGTAAAAATTAAAGATGGTTAAGGTGAATAGTTACATTTAGCCGCTTAACCTGCTAAACTTTGTACTAAATGTTTTTGTAGAACATTTCAGGTTTTTGAAAGTGCCAATCGGTGGTTTCTGCTTTTCATGCTCATACTCATTACTTGTCAGCAAACATGTTAAATATAATGTACTAATTTGCTTTTTGTCTGTGTGCACGATTCAGTGCCACCTGTTTTCAGGCACAAAATTACAAATCTGGAGGTCAGTGTTGGCAGTCCTGCAAAGTTCGAATGTGAGATTGAGGAGGCTCCAGGTGTGACCTTCAAGTGGTTGAAGTCTGGTTCTGAGCTCAGACATAGTGACAAATGCAGGATTATCAGTCGTCTTCACACCTCATCTCTGGAGATATTTAGCCCAACAGTCGCTGATAGTGGAGAATTTACCTGCAAAGCTTCAAACCGCCATGGAAGTGACAGCTGCTCTGCTAAACTAAGTGTGACAGGTAAGAAAAATATACCTTTCTTATTGTCCATTTGTCTTCTTGACTTTTCTCTGGAGTTGACATGCTTTGTGTTTGATACTTTGTTGATAAAGTTATTTATTTCTATTTGTTGAAATCTTCTTTTTATAGAAATGTTCCCTCCAGAATTTGTATCAAAACCTGATTCGATGACTTTATTTGTGGGAAAGCAAGCAAAATTTCAATGTGTTATTTCTGGTTCTGAACCAATGAATGTTGTCTGGCACAAAGACAATATTGCCATTTCACTTGATGATCACTGCAAAGCGTCCTCTGACAAGAACAAGTATTTTCTTGAAATCTTGAATTTACAACAAAGTGATCAGGGATCATATCTTTGCAAAGCTTCAAACAGTGTTGGTACAGCTACATGCTGTGCTGAACTGAGGGTTGTAGACAAACCCAACTTTGTGAAGAGCTTTGAGGCAACCACTATTGCTGAGGGAAACCCACTACGTCTTGAGTGTCAGGTAGATGAAGACAATGGGGTTTCCATCACCTGGATGAGAGATGGCAAGAAACTCCATACTACAATGGACTGTAAACTAGCTTTCGAGGAAAAAATAGCCTGTCTTGATATTCAAAAGGCTAAACTCAAAGATACAGGTTCATATACCTGTACTGCTGCCAATGATGCAGGAAGCAGCAGTTGCTCTTCTAGTGTGACAGTGCAAGGTAAGACTTTGAGATTAATACCCTTTGTTAATGCAGTATTTGAAACAAATCTGCATGTCAGGGTATTAATTTCTGTCAGTGTGCATTTGCATTTCTTAGACAGAGTTTACAAAGCTTAAGCATCAGTTGATGCTGCTCTTATTTGCCATAGAAAGTATTGCAGTTTATTTTTACTGTGCTCCTTCACATGTCCCTTATTTATATTAAGCTGTCTTTTTCTTAACATGTCTTTTTCTTGCAAACAAATCAAAAATCTTTTTTCCTCCATTGCATTTGAACCCTTAGAACCTCCAGTCTTTGTTAAAAGGCTGGAGCCTAAGATCTTATGGAAACAAGGAATGTCATCACGTCTGTCGTGTACTGTCAAAGGATCAGCTGAACTCCACGTGACTTGGTTTTCGAACGACAAACCACTTAGTTCCTCTGAAAAGCACAAAATAACTTTCAAAGCTGGCCAAGCCACTCTTGAGATTATTAACTTATCGGAGTCTGACAGTGGAAATTACACTTGTGAAGTGATGAATGAGGCTGGCTGTGAAAGCTGCACCTCTCAAGTAACTGTAAAAGGTAATACTCAAGATTCTTACGTTCTGATATATTGCTCATTACATTGCGATAGAAGAGTCATCTTAAATCTTATTGCTCTTATTGTTCTTAGAACCTCCTGCATTTAAAAAGGAGTTGCAAATGGTGGAGGTAGTCAAGGGGAGCACAGCCCAGCTTGAATGTGAAGTTACAGGCACCGCTCCATTTGAGGTGACCTGGTTTAAGAATAAAAACCCAGTATCCTCTGACAAGAAGTATAGTATTGTCTCAAAAGAGACAGTTGCATATTTGGAAATCAAATCATTTGAAAGTGCAGATGTTGCAGATTACCAGTGTTGCATTTCTAATGACGTTGGCAGAATAACTTCAAAAGCAGTGGCAAAATTGAAAGGTTGGTACAATCAATTTCAATGGCCTAAACTTTTTTTTTTGTTAACATTTTATTAAATGTGAAAATGAATATGGCTTTTTTTTCATGCAGACCCACCATTGTTTGTAAAAAAAGTTGAGAACACTACTGCAGTTTTAGGCAGTGCTGTGAAACTGCAGGGAACTCTGAAGGGTTCTGCTCCTCTCACAGTTCAGTGGTTTAAAGATTCTGAGATAGTCAGAGATGATGATCCTAATATTACCACGACTTTTGAAAACAACATTGCTATTCTGGCAATAGCAAATGTGGCCATTAACCATGGGGGGAAATATACTTGTCAAGCTGAAAATGAGGCTGGAAAACAAAAATGCGAGGCCACTGTATCAGTTCAAGGTTAGAATTAAACATATTAAGCATATCACTATATTCAACATTGTATTTTGTAACACTTTTATTGTTATCATTGATTTATTCATTGATTTATTTCATTTTTGTTAAAGAACCAGCTAGATTTGTTGAGAAACCGCCATCCATCAGTGTGACTGCAGGTGACTCTGCTACTCTCGAGTGCAAAGTTTCAGGGAGTCCAGATCTCAAAGTAAAATGGTTCAGAGATGGCAAAGAGATTACAGGAAGTCGAAAATGCAAAATCTCTTTCAAAGATAATGTGGCAGCCTTGAAAATCCTCTCAGCAGAGAGGGGAGATAGCTGTGAATACAAAGTTGAAGTTTCTAATCGGGTTGGAAAAGAGCAATGCCCTTGCTCAATTGTTGTTCTTGGTTAGTGCTATTCTTTTAAAATTATCTTTCATTTTGTGTTTTTGTGTGTGTGTGTGTGTGTGTGCATATTTTTTTTTTACAATGGTGTTTTACTTCTGTTGAGCAGATAAAATAATACCCCCCACTTTCACAAAAACACTTAAGAAGGTAGATGGTAATGTTGGAGGTACTATTCAGTTGGAATGCAAAGTGTCAGGATCCCAACCTATAACGATATCTTGGTTCAAAGAAGGAAAGGACATTACAACTGGAACAAAGTATAAAACAGAAATGCAGGAAAGCACTGCAATACTGAAAATAACTGATTTAGAGACATCAGATGCTGGGGTTTTCACCTGCCATGCAACTAATGCTGCAGGACACAGTGAAACAAGTGGAACTGTTTCTGTTAAAGGTTAGAATAATCAATCATATCTTATCGATTGAAAATTATTGTTTTGTATATGGTTGTTAAAATAATCTCTTCCCTCTTCAAACTAACTTTAGAACCCCCAGTCTTCTCTTTGAAACCTCAAAACCAAGATGTTATACCAGGAACTACAGTTGTCCTAACAGCTGCATTCACTGGGACAGCACCTTTTATTATTAAGTGGTTCAGAGAAGACAAAGAAATGTTAACTGGAGGAACTTGCTTCATCAAGAAAGAAGCCAACTCAAGTTCACTGGAGCTGCACTCTGTGAAGCCATCTCAGTCTGCAAAATACACATGCCAAGTTTCCAATGATGCTGGAAAGGTCTCATGCACAGCAGCCTTATTTGTGAAAGGTGCTTTTTCTTACTCTTGATGAATTGTTTTTCCATAATTTTTTACAGAATAATTCTTCAGTTAATTCATCTTAATGTGTTATTCTCTTTTTTTAGAACCTCCAAAATTTGTAATGAAACTTGACTCGACTAAACTAGCATTGAATGGGAGTCTTGCAACTTTGGAATGTAAAGTCACTGGCAGCCCAGAGATCAGTATTAGATGGTATAAAAATGAAACTGAAATTAGCTCAAATGATAAATACCAAATGACCTTCATCGACTCAGTTGCTAAACTACAAATTTCCAATTGCTGTGTTGAAGACAGTGGAGATTATATCTGCCAAGCATCAAGTGAAGCTCGCAGTGATACCTGCAGTTGCTTGGTTACAGTCAA